AAGCTTACGTTTGTTACTCGACAACGACAACGAGATTGAATTCACCGTTCTTTTTATGTTTGAAAAATTGATTCCTTACGAATATTCTTGAGAATTTCAGCCATTTCGAAACTGCATATGCGAAACACGTCAATTCGAATGACATATTACGTTAACGCTAGATTCACGGAACCCGTCAAAATGGCGGGTCGCTAATTTATTAATCTACGACTATTCGTATCGTGAAGATACATTTAAGGAGTTATTCAATTTATATATTGCTCGCGGCAAATGTTACAACAACAATGTTGTTCAAAATCAGAATAAATGTCTTCTTATTGTTGCTTATCTCACAAACTATCAATATAAAACAGCTGTTTCCCGTGCTCCGTAAATCTATCGTTAACGGAACAAGAACGGTCGACGAATTTTCCACTGGGAAAAACGGTTCCCAAGGAAGCGGGGAACAAGAAACGAGTAGAACGGTTCTTCCTCGAATACCGGTTTCCTTTCGGATCCCTTAGAGCAGGGTGCAAAGAGAAGCGCCTAGTCCCTGAGCTGGTCGTTGCTGCGCCCCTCGCGGTCTCCTCTCGACCCCTGCGTATCGAGTTCGTTACAGATCCCCGTGGCAAGATCTCCACCCCTCTGCGCTCCCCACCGAGCCGTGGCTTTCCCCTCTGGTCCCGACGAAGGACGAATCGCACGAAGAGAAAAAGAGAAAGAGAGCGAGCGAGAAAGAACGAGAAAGCGAGAGAGAGAGAGAGAGAGAGAGAGAGGCTGGTATAGTCGCGGCCGCGATCTGCGCAACTCGTCCGCTCGCTGGGTCTCCGTCGCGCGAAAGGGGTTGAATCGGGCCTCTCGGTTTCCAGCCCCGGCGTCCTTTTCTTCCGTCGTGGACGCGCGAAAACCGCCTAACCTCGCCGCGGAACAAACATCGAAATCATTGTCCGCGAAAGGTCCGAGGAATCGTCGAGAAGATAGAGAGAGAGAGGGAGAGTGCGTATATTCGGCGCGCGTGACCGCGGCGACGTTCGCCGAGGGTGGGCCGCCAAGGGGCGAGAGAGACGCGTCCGAAGGGTGCGCGGAGGCGCGCGCGTGGCTGCGCGCTCGCTGTCGAAGGCTCGCGCGATCGCGAGTCGAAGAGGATCGGTTACCCCGTGAGGCGCGTGCGGGGCGATTCGCCGAGCGATTTCCGTCTCGTTCGAGGAGCTTTCGGGAAGGTAACACGTATATCGACTGCCGCTCTCGGCGTCGAATCGAATCGGCTCGCCGTAAAATCGATCCGGGCCTCCCCTCGCTCGCCGCACCGCCGGCGACGCTCCCCCCCACCCTAGCTACTTTCCATCCCCTATTGATCCCGCTATCGACGCGAGAGCCCCGAGAGCCGGGAGGAGAGTCTCGTCGATGGTCTCTCGCCGCTTCGACCATCGTCCTCGACCCTCGATCAACCCTCCTTTGCCGACACGGGGGAAGACCCAGGGGAGGACATCTTGGAACACGCCGGCCCCCCTCGCCGGCCCCCTCTTCCAAGCTTCTGGCCGCCCCTGCGGAGACGGGGATGCGCGTTTCGATCGCGGAATTGCGTCCAAGTGCTCGGCCGTTCCGGAGCGCGTCTCTCGCCTCGCAAACGCTTCGGGTACACGTGGAGCTGATCGATTCTTCCTCGTTCTCTCGCGACGTCACCGGTGGCAGTCGCGGCGCGGTTCGATTGCGTATTGATCAACGGGATTCGGTGCGGCGACGCAACGCCTCGGAATATTCGGGAAACCCGGGAAGCCTGCTAGAAACGATTTAAGAACATCGCCGTCTACGGGGGAAAAGAAACTGACGTCGAGAGAAAAAGGTGTCCTCCGGTGGTAATCCTGGTCGGGCGACCGGATTCTCGCGATCCTATATCGCGAGTTACGCGGAACGATAGCGAAGAGGACTCTCTCTGGAGTCTCTAGAAGAGAGAAAAATCAAGAGAGAGAGAGAGAGAGAGAGGGAGAGAGAGATCGCCAAAGTGAGAACGTTTCGTCGACGTCGGGGGACAGAAGACGATCGAACGGGCCGGCTACTCGATAATCGGATCGAAGAGGCCGTGGCGTGGAGAGTCTGCCGGAGAGCAGTCGGAAGGTGGCCAATCGAGGATAGGTCGCCGGGTCCGGGGATAGCAGTCGATGTTTATGCTCGAAGTATCGGCGCATCGAGCAACGTTGGTCACGAGGTATCGGAAAATCGATAGAACGCTGAGTGACGGCAGAGTGGTGGCGGCGTCGGTGGCGGCGTCGCCGTTGCTGGTGCTGCTGTTGGTGATAGCGGCGGTGGTGGTGGTGGCGGCGTCGGCGTCGTGGCCGTCTTTGGTGGTGGTGTGACGGTGTTCGACGGCGCGCACGTAGTGGTCGCTCGCGGCACACGACGATATACGTTCGCCGACGACTTAGACGGGGTGGCTTCTCGTCTGGTGACTTGGAAGACCCTAGACTCGCCGGGGACAGAGACACTGTGTACACGTGCGTGTCGGGATATCTTCGCGCGCGTACACCTGGAAAAACAGAGAGAGGGTTCGCGTACGAAGCCTACGCGCGAATAAAGGCAGACTTACAGGCGTACAGAGAGATAGATATATATGTATATATATATAGAGAGACAGAGAAAGAGTGAGGGAGAGAGATACGGAGAGAGACAGGGAGAGATATAACGAAGAGAGACAGTCGGCGCGACAGAGAGAAAGTAAAAGAAAAGACGATCGTCGAGTATCTCGCGGCAACTCGAGCCGAACTTCGTGCCGGTGCGGTAGTTCGCGTCGCGTGTGTTAATCCTGATCGACGAAAGGGGGTTAACTTTTCACGTGGATCGTGTCTGGCAAGGATCGCGCGCAGGTACAGGGAACACGGTGGCGCGTCGGTGATGGTGTCGGTGTTGGTGTCGTCGTCGTCGTCGTCGTCGTCGTCGTTGTTGTTGGTGGTGGTGGTGGTGGTGGCAGCGGCCGGGGGGTGTCCCCGTGATATGCTGGGCAGAGAGAGACGGGACGATAGACGATAGACTGGCGCGAGCGAGGAAACGTGGATATAGTACGAGTCGCACCTGGACCCGGAGGAAGGAAGCGTAGTTAGAGCGTAGCACGCGTCAGAGGGTGTCGCTTACACCGAACGGCGAGCGTAAAAAATAAAGAACCGAGAGAGAGAGAGGGAGAGAGAGAGAGAAATATAGAAAGAGAGTAAGAGAGGTAGACAGAGGTAGAGAGGAAGAGAGATAGACAGAGGTAGAGATAGGGGATATCAAAGGGAGTAAAGGAGAGAGATAGAGAGCAAAAGGGAACACGCACAGAGAGAAGGAAAACGAAGCACGTTAGAGGTAGTAGGGTGGACCAGGTGGTAACGGTGCTACTGGCGGTAGTGGTGGTTCCCGGTGGTGGTAGTGGCTCGTGTGCCTCGTGTCCGGGGTTGGGGGACGGAGTGAAACGGAACGGAAGGGTCTCTCTTCTGGACAGCTCGGGGGTACCGGCGGGAACAAAGTGAGAAAGAGAGAGAGAGACTAGTTCGAGGAGCCGCTGAAAAGAAGGAGAGAGAGAGAGAGAGAGAGAGAGAGAGAGAACCACGTCCCCCCTTCTACAGCACGGGTTCCGCTGACTGATCGGTCTCTCTCGCTCTCTCGCTTGTCGCTCGACACGAACTAACGTATTCACTGGAGCGCGCTTGGTGTGCGTTCTCTCACTCGCTCCGCGTATGTCATGGGCGCACGGTGGTCGCCGCTGCTGTGCTACCGGATCTCTATGCCGATCCGACCGAGTGCCGGAGCGATAGAGGAAGAAGCATCAGCGGCAGCAGCAGCAGCAACGAGATCAGCAGCAGCAACCTTGTTGTCGGGAACACCGTCGACGTCGGCGTCGTCCTCGTACACGAGCGTCCGCGACGACGTCCTCGGCGCCGGGATTCGTTGTCCCACCTCCGCTTCGTCTCGTTGTTCATCTTGTTGTTCCGCGCGGAGGCTGTCGTCGGTCGCGAGAAGTCGTAGTCGGTGGTGGCGATCGTTGTCCCGCTCGATGCTCCCCAAGCTGTCTGCCTCGTCGGACGTTCAGTGACGACGCGGACGGTGATATCGCGGAAACTTTTTCAGTGAAGCAGACAAACGGGCCGACGTCGCAGCAGAACCGTAGCAGACGTAGCAGCACCCGGCAGCAGCAGCAGCAGCAACACGTATTTAGCCTTCTTCGGGGGTGGTGGTCGCTTGGCTCAGTGTCTTGGCGCGGATTCGAAAAGCGAACCTTTGTGAACCTTGTTGCAATCGGAAGTAAACAAACCGTATATATATATACAATATATATGTATATGTATATTTACATATACCGGCGGTGGTAGTTCTTTTTTTGCGTTTCGAGAGGGAAACAGAAAACGTGTGCGGTGTGAAATTTCTCTGGTACCCGGAGTGTGTGCACGCGGTGTGTCCGAGCACGGGAGAGCGAGTGCGCGGCCACACGAACTAGATGTGCGTAAATGGAAGGTATAGGGGACATAGCCGATCATCAATCGCATAGCGAGCAATTACTGGACTCGGTCGATTCCCCGGCGGCGGTTTCTACGCATGGCCGGGGAACCGGTGGGGGTGGCTCGAATGGGAACTGTGCAGGTGGAGGAGGTAACACCGGTGGAGGTGGTAGCAGCGCCGGTGGTAGAGGAACGGTGGTTGGTGGGGGTAGGCATCACCATCATCACCACCACCATCACCACCATCATCACCAAAACCAACAACAACAACAACAACAGCAGCAACATCATCCTCATCCTCATCATCCACAGGGTCATCATCAACAGCAACAACACCATCAGCAGCAACAGCAACAACAACAACAGCATCACCACCAGCAACAACAACAACAACATCATCATCATCACCACCACCCGCAACATCATCGTCATCACGAATCGGACGGTACGATCGGTGGAAACGGTGGTGGTGGAGGAGGAGGAGGAGGAGGAGGAGGAGGCGGCCGAGTCCACGGTGGTGGAAGTGGAAACGGTGGAGGTGGTAGCGCAGAGGGTATGTCGTCTTCCGCCTCGCAAAGTCCCGACATCGCGTGCGCGAGCTTGCCGCTGGAACTACTGGCGGCCGGCGCGCTCGGCGTCAAGGAGGAGCGAGAGCTCACCGCCGCGGAGGATCTGTCGTCGTCCCAGGAACCGCCGAGTAACAGTGGCAGCAGCGGTGGTGGAGGTGGCGGCAGTGGTAGCAGCGGCAGCAGCAGCAGCAGCAGCGGCAGCGGCGGCGGTGGTGGCGGCGGCGGCGGCGGTGGCGGTGGTGGTGGCGGTGGCGGCGGCGTGGTCGTTGTTAGTGGTGGTGGTGGTGGTGGAGGTGGCGGTGGTGGTGGCGGTGGTAGCGGTAGCACAAGCAGTAGCTGTAGTACAAGCAGCAGCAGTGGCGGCAGCGGCGGAGGTGCCGTCGGTGGCGCCGGTGGTGGCAACGGGAACGGCAACGGCAACGGCAACGGTAGCGGCAACGGCAACGGCAACGGAAACGGTGGCGGCGGTGGCGGTGGTGGCGGCGGCGGCGGCGGCAGCGGCGGCGGCGGAGGCGGCGGCGGCGGCGGCGGCGGTGGTGGAGGTGGTGGTGGTGGCAGACAGAACGCGAGGGAGTCCCTGTCGGTGATCGTGCCACCTCAGGACGTGGACGTGGACTCGCGTGACGCCGACTCGGAGCTGCTCAGTCCGGGCAAGCTAACGCCGACGTCGGGGATAAGCGTCTCGGTCGCGAGTATGATCGACGCGACGGACTTCAGGGCGATGCAGCCGGAGCCGACCTATCAGACACTGACCTCGGTCGCGGAGAGGATGTCGCCGCCTGGCTTCAGCCCGGGCTCGTCTTACGCGACCCTGACGCCGTTGCAGCCGTTACCGCCGATCTCGACGATGAGCGACAAGTTTGTGTACAGCGCGCACACCGCTGGCGGCGTCACCGGCAGTTTCGCGGTCATGCAGAACAACGGCCTCGGTAACATCGGCCTCAGCATGAGCAGCTCGCCGTACGCGTACGACAAGCTGCCCTCGATGAGCATGTCGCCGCCGCACAATTACCCTTCGCCCGGCGCCGGACTACAGCCGAGCCCTTTGTCGCCCCAGAGCGCCTACAGCCAGAGCGGACTGAACTCGCCGCACAAGTCCGCGAGCCCTCACTACGATCCGGCCTTTTTGCCGAGGCTGCAACAGAGCCCGGCGGCGTTGAGCCCGTCGTCGCCGCCGGCCGTTTCGGCGACGGCCAGTTTCGCGCCCTCGCATCATTCCCCGCCCACGCACTCGGTGCCGGCTGCCTCGCCGCCTCCCATGCAGACGCAGCTGCAGCAACAGCAGCAACAGCAACAACAGCAACAGCAGCAGCAGCAGCAGCAGCAGCAGCAACAGTCGATGCAGTCGCAGCAGACGATATCGCACACGCAGCACGTGCAGCACACGTCGGTCGTGATGAAGACCGTCTCGACCGCTGGGAACGGGGCCGGCGAGGTCGAGGAGATCAACACCAAGGAGCTGGCCCAGAGGATCAGCGCCGAACTCAAGAGGTACAGCATACCGCAGGCGATATTCGCTCAGAGGGTCCTGTGCCGAAGCCAGGGCACCCTCAGCGACCTTCTGCGCAACCCGAAACCCTGGTCGAAGTTGAAGAGCGGTCGCGAGACCTTCCGACGGATGTGGAAGTGGCTGCAGGAGCCCGAGTTTCAGAGAATGTCGGCCTTGCGGCTAGCAGGTTAGTCTCCTACGAACACCTAACACCATTATACTACTACTACTACTACTACTACTACTACTACTTCTACTACTACTACTACTACTACTACTACTACTACTACTATTACTACTACTACTACTACTACTACTACTACTACTACTGTCTTCTCTCACTTTGACTAAACGGTGCAATACACCATGTTAATCTGTCTATCTATATCTATATATATATACATATCTATGCATACATACATATATTTATCTTTATACATGTATACGTGCGTACATATATATATATATGTATATACATATACACTGTGCTCCTCTTGACACCTTTATCTCGCTAACATTACGACCACCGCGAAATCTGTCGTCTAATCTACCTTCTACATGTATACACGCTCTCACGCGCGTACATCTGTGTCTGCTGCGTTGTTACGCGTCGACGTATATATGTATGTATACGCGTATCGTTATCGCTCGATACGATCCAGCGTGTCGCTCAATCGTGAAACGATTCTACGCTCGAACACCGCCGTCTGTGTGTGTCTCTCTCACTGAAAACGCGGCCAAGATCCGCGTCGATCTATCCGATTCTACCGTGCTCCACGTCCGATGATCTAGTTACCCATTGTCGGCCTAGACTCCTCTCTCTGTCTGTTAACGATTCGACGTTATTCCGCGTACACCTACAGTCTATACCGCGCCGGTCGACCTCTCGGAATCTACCACCTGAACAGAAGCTATTTCTCTCTCTCCCGAGAGAGAGAGACAGAGAGAAAGATAGAACGAGAGAGAGCGAGAGAGAGAGAGAGAGAGAGAGAGAGAGCGAGGTCTCCGAAAGAAGATCGTCGCGCGAAAAATCGTTGCCCGATCTCGGGGCCAGTCGATCGTTCCGTCGACGGTTTCGAGAGCCGGAAAACGCTATAGCGGAAAGGAGAGAGAACGGGTCGCGCGTTCGGTCGCGGAAAAAGGACCGAGGGGGCGGCTCTCTCTCTCTCTTTCTCTCTCTCTGTTTTGGCGGCGACGAAATCGGACGACGAGAGCGCGTGCACGCGCGTAAGAGACGCGGGCGGAAGCGCACACGTGGCACCCACGTGGAGAGGCGTTCCCTTCCATATCATTCAGAGATAGACGCGCGGAATAACACTTTTCGAATTCAACATCCTTTGCCCCGGCACAACACCGCGTACAGTTATTGATCGTGGTCACGCGGCGATAGGCGGAACGCGCAGCCGCGACCTCGCGGACGCCATGTTCGCCATGCCGCCGCCACGCTGTCGTCCGCTCCCGCCCCCTCCCCTTCTGCCACCACGGATTTCTACCCCTGTCCCTGTCCCTGTCCCTGTCCCTGTCCCTGTCCGTCCGGGAACACGTTATCTATCTGGCCCGAGACCGAATTCGCGCCCGAATGCCACGGGCTTCCATCCTGCGTCTCGCCGACTTCCCTTTATCCCGACCAGCCCAGCCGAACTATACCCTCTTGCCCGGAACTTAGGGGTTGCCGTTTCCCTCGGTCCGCACCTGGACTAACCGCGGATCTCCCTGATTCTCCGATGCGACCGATTTCCTTAGCCGTCCTTGCCGTTCGATCGGCTTCGAACCTCGAAGATCGTTCGAACCATCCTTCGCTTCGCGATCTCCGCGGCGGCGAAGCTTCCTCCGATTTTTTCAGAGAAATCCGATCGATCCTCGGGGACGATCGCGAGTTCGCTTCTCTTCTCGATCTTCTATGCGACAGCTCGACGCTTCGTATCGGCTGCACTAGCCGATCCAACGTCGATTCTTCAATTAATTCGAAAGAGTCGCGGAAGATGAAACGCTCCGCCGTCTTCCGTCTCGCCGTTTCAGCGAAAGGGCTTCGCGTTCTCTCTCCGCCGGCGATCCCGAATTCGTGTCAAGCGGTTCAAGAAACGTGTCCGCGTCTAGCCGGGGCACACCATAACGGCGTCAAGTTGCTCGCCGACCATTCCCGCTGATATACTGTTCGCGATGTTTTGGATACTAAACGATCCTCGTGTCTACAGCAGGGGTTTAGATCACCGTGGGCCGCGGTTAACATCGGTTATTCGCAAACTAGGCCAGCCCCACGGCCCTCCCCGGCCATTCAGGGGACCTTAATTTCGGAACAACGGACCTCGGACCGTTCCCCCGAACTTGTAAATCCACTTTTTCCCATTCTTCCTTGCGACGCATTGTCTAGGAAGCCTCGTTCTCGAGTGTAACTCCGGTCGAACCTCGTCTCCGGGTCCCTTGCGAGACGTCCCGCGCGTCCAACTGGCAACCGTAGAACGCTTCGGGGACGATTATCCTCGTCGTGGACAATTTTGTAGCGAAGATCGGACCGCCGTGAAAAGCGTTCGGCGCGCAGTTCACAGTTTCGGCCGTTCTTGTCGCGAACGCGTCGAATTCGCGGCCCCCTTATCGTCCCGCCGAACGTCTTCGACGATGCACAACCAACGTTCCGCTTATCTAGCCGTCGTAAATTCGCTTTTTGCGAACGTGCTTCTCGCGTAGCGATCGCCGGACCGCGGATTTTACTATTTATTGCGCGCACGGACCTGTTAATGGTCGCCGCGGCTGAGAATTTCGCGAATTCGGAACGAACTCGAGCGGAGCTCTCGCGACGGGGCGCGAGAATGTTCCGTCGATTCGACGAGGTTGGACGTCGCGGTTGAATTTCCAAAAAAAAGAAAGAAAAAGGAAGAACGAAAGCGCAGGCTTGATGAACGAGATCGGCGAACGCGAGCGAGCGCGAAGCGAGAGCGTGACCGAAGCGTCGCCACGGAGGATTGTTCGAGGGCGCGGATGGTGAAATAAATCGTAAGATAGCGAAATGAATCGGGGAAAAAGCGAGATTCGGATTCACCGTGGCCGAGGGCTCGCGGATGAACGGGTAAACGGCGGTCCCGCGGCCCGACGAATATTAATGAAGCCTCTCCCGAAGTAGCCCCAGTGACTCGCATTCGGATCCGCGTCGGTCGGGCAAGAAGGTCAGGCCAGATCGCATGCAAGATGGCGAAGGCGAGGGGGGGTTGGAAATAAGAAAAGCAAACTCGCGTTTCGGGGCGGACAAACATTTCTCTTCGGAGTCTTTTCTCAAACCCTCCCGGCTTCCGTCGTTCCTTTTGTACGCCGGCAAAGGCGTAAAGATAATGTCGAGGAGGGCCAGTAACTATTCTGTAGCTAGCATCTCCCCGTCTCTCTCCCTCTCTCGCACTCTTTCTCTCTCTCTCACTCTCTTCTTCCCTCTCTCTGTCTCTCTCGTTCTCGTTTCTTGCGCCACGGAGGTTCGCGAGGGTCGTGGAAAGGCCGAGGGAGACCGAAGAAAAGGTGGCAGTGGCGAAAGGGTTCGAGGCAGACAATGCTGGAGGAGAAGGGTTCGATCCAGTGCCCTTCAGATTAGAGTCCCCGCTATTGTTTCCCACGTTTCTTTCTCGCTCGTTCTCAAAGCGTCGTCTCATTAAAACACGTTCGAGAGCGGCGAGCACAGGTGTCCCTCTGGGAATCGCTTCGCCTCCGGGAGACGATCGTTGCCGCAAGAAAATCATCTTCGTCGTCGTCATCGTCTTCTTTCGATGACGAAACACCCCGGATCGATCCGATCGAAAGATCACCGGCGGGGCTCGTCCCGCTTTTTGAAACCGATTTCTCGGCGTTTCTACGTCGTCGCCGACTTCTTGTGCCAGAAGAATCGTCGACTCCGGGGTCTTCGAAACAGCTGTGCTTCGTACTTCAGACTATCTAGAGCAGATTTTTCGAAGGGGTCGATCTATGGCTCGTCTCAGAAAATCCGATTTTCGGTGCCGTTGCTATCCAAATAGCGGATTTTGTACGCAAACTGGGAACATTCCGCCTCGATTATCGGAGACAGAGATTAGACAGAAATCTATTTCTGATTCAGTTTATTCGGATCACAAGTGCATAATATCCACAGTGTAATCAGAATTAGTACTCGACTGCTAAAAATCATCGACTCCGGTTCGCCGGGTCTTCGAGTCAGCTGTGCGTTACACGCGAAAATCGTTCTCCTGTTCTTTTTTATCTCGAATTCATCGGCAAGCTATCTAGATCAGAATTTCCTCGCGCGAAGCGATCGATCCAGTACCACGTTGCATCAACAATTCTCCCTAACATCGACCACGTAAATCATCAATTTCTCATCAACCAACTGCGGTAATTATGAACTACTAATTAGCAGACCGTGTGGATCTACGAAATAATAGCAGTCTGTATCGATTGCAAGACAAACGAGCCGATTATAATATTCTCGTTCGGTCTTAAAAAACTCGTTCTTCGTGTTCGCCATGAACGCATGAAACGCGTGAAATGCATAAAATGCATAAAATGCATGCAAGAAGGAGGCATAACGGCTCGTTCGATCCCGGCCTTCGCGTTCGTTCGTTTTCGAGGAGCGAGAGAACGCGGCGCGCGAAACCGTGCGGGTTGCGGCGATCGCGACACCGCGGGTCTAAGAATGCAGCTCGGCCGACGCACGGGTCGGCTCGTAAATGATTCAGCGGTTGGGATCGATGGGAAAACGGTGCTAATTCCACCGGCCGTATCTTGAGCTGCTACGCTCACGATAATGGACACACGGTGTAGTAATAGTCGCATCGATCGCAGCTACGCTGACCGAAGGAAACACGGTTGGCCGGCCGCGCGGCGCGTGCTGCATTTTTTACGAAACGGAGAAACAACTCCGCGGAAAATCCTGTTCTGGCCCAGGCCCGGCACGAGCCCCGGCCGACGATGAATGATGCAGCGCCTAATCATTCCGTGCAAACGGACCGCCGCGCCGCAACGCTCCGCGAGCCCTCGAACTTTGATCGAGCATCGATTAACGCTGGAACCGTCGTGCGCCAGCGATCCCTCTAACTCTCGCCGGGGCTTAATTGCTGATCTGTTTGAACGTCTGCTTACGAAACCGGCCGCGATCCTCCTCTGTACTGGACACTTCGCTGGCCGAAACTCGGGAGCGCCTTTTGTCCCCGAATTTACATCGCTCGCGTTGCTCGC